GAGAGAAAGAGAGAGAGTAGCTGTAATCGCACGCCTGCGAATGTCGGAACTCTTGGGAGCAGGGAGGAGAGACCGTACAACCGGCGAGTCAGTCGACTATTAGTGGTCTGTGACTCTGGAGGTAGCCCGACCACCGCAGAACCGAGCCCGACGCAGCTCGGTTGCGTTCGGTCGGTAGTCGGGGCCAGTCGGGCGCTTCCACTGCTCTTTTCGGTCTGGTCGTTTTCCTCAGTCCGTCGTTGTTGCGCATCGAGAACAGTTGCATCCTTTCTTTTTTTTTCGTTCCAAGGCACACAACGAAATAGTCGGAAGCAATCTTTTTTTCGCGCTATGTGACGGATATCACGGGGCACCGAGCGTGTACCCCGCCTTTTCTGCACTTCATTTCCCACCCCGTCTTTCCCTTCTCTTCGTTGCCACTACACACGTACTCTCCTTTGCCCAGAGAAAGAGAGAGAGAGAGAGAGAGAGAGAGAAAGAGAGAGCACGTTGTAAACGCAGGCACGTACATACGCAGACACTGACCGACGAAGGGGCCACGAGGGCCCCGTGGAATTGTGCCTAGGAAAACATGGAGTGTCCACATCTTGCTCAAAGCGTCCAATTCGACGGTAACGACGTAGAAGCGAATTGTACGAAGGATCTACCGTTCATCTGTGCAGGTAGGACCTCCTGCCTTTTCTCCTTTTTGAGCAGCTTGAGATATTGTGATATCTAAAAAGGTCGAAACCTAGCTTGCACGAGATCCTTTCTTCTCCGATTGGAGTTATATATCTTGCACGATTCGTTTCTCGCTCGGGCCCGATCTCGATCTTTCCTTCACTTCTGTTGTCTCCCGTCTCCTTTTCTCTCATTTCTTTTGTGTTCTCTGTCTCGCTCTTTTTTTCCCCTCTTCTTGCCACGCTCTTTCTCTTCCTCTTCCTCTTTCTCTTTCTCTCTTTACCTCTCGTGACCGAGGCCCCGGCCGTTCCTCTCGCGGCCTTGAGCCGTCGTAACCGACAAGATGAAACAAGCCATTTCTCTATTTCTCTTTCAAGATATATACCAATGCATGCTTTCTTTCTTTCTTTTTTTTTTTTTTTTGTTTTTATCGAGAGCGAAAGAATACCGCGACGACGCGTTTAAGTTCGCTTTCCGTATCTCACGGCCTCTCTGCATTACACGCGAATATCGATGATACTTGTGGACGCACGACTCCTAGTATCATTCGTATGTGTCGTGAATCGAACTCCCCAGTACGAATATGTGTGTAAGTACGTCTCTCCTCGATGCACGCGAGTATGTATATGTATCAGTACGTATGAATGCGAGGCGAGCTTGTACGACGCGCGTGTGCGGCTATATGTG